CAGACTGGTCAGACCGAGGGACTCTTGCCAGCCAACTTTATCGAGCTCGTGAAGGAACCGGTTGCCGCTCCACGTCCTCCCCGTCCAGTATCCACTATTGTATCGACTCCATCTGATTCGGCTCCTGCTCACCACATGGCAGATATTGTACAGCAGGCGGTATCCAGTGACGAGAAGGAAAAGAAGAAGAAGAACAGACTTGGTGGACTGGGCAGTATTCTCAAGATTAACAAGAGTAAACCAACTCCATCTTCCGATGCACACTCTCAGCACCCCGATGTGCATCCATCATCTTCCTCTTCTCCTCCTCCACCCGTGTCTGCACTCCCGCCTCCCCCGCCTCCAGCACTGCCATCAACCTCAGCATCTCCGCCACCGCCCCTTCCACCTCTTCCTCTTGCTTCTCCGCCACCTCCGCCTCCCCTCGCTTCTCCACCACCACCTCCACCTCTTGCTTCGCCGCCACCACTACCACCACTGTCGCAGCTTCCACCTCCGCCACAGCCGCCACAGCCGCCACAACCTCAGCTGCCAGCCTTGCCAGTGCTTCCTCCGCTCCCATCTATCCCGCCAGTTCCAGTCCCATCCGTGCCCACCTATGACGATGGAAACGTTATTACTGGCGAAGATGTTGATAGCGACGCTGATGTTGATGCTGACGAGGCACAGCCTAAATCAGCATCATTCCCGTCAGATGAAGCTCATGCGGCGAATGACGATGACATTGAAGAAGGCGAGCCAGAACAGGCAGAGTCACAGACCCACCAGCTAAGCGAACGTGATGCAGAAATCCTCGCTCGTACAGAACGTCTCAAGAAGTTGACCACAGCTGTATCCGCATTCCCAACTGGCATGGCAATTCCCCCTCCTGTACTTCGCAAATCATCAACTTCAGCCTCGTCAAACACCACTAAATCCACAACAGCCATTGTACAGTCTCCGCCAGTGCAACATTTAGATAGTACCGGGCAACAAGGGGAGGAAGACGATGGCGCTGCTGATAACACTGCGGAGTCACAGTCGGAGTCGACAGAGAAGTTGGACAAATCAGCGAGCAGTGGTCCAATTTTAGCTCGAGTTAATGAAGACTACGAAGGTGGTTCGGATGGAAATCTCAATTTGGTTGCTGGAGACATTATTACAATCCTTGAACAACGAACCGATTTAGATGGTCTGTGGAAAGGCGATTCTCACGGCCACATTGGCTTCTTCCCTTCGCATTTAGTCTCCATCATTGATAGCACAGCTACAGCTACATCGGCAACTGCTGACGACGCAGACTCAATCAACTCTGACACAAAGACCACCCCTTCATTCAAACTCGCAGCCTATGGTGTGAAACAGGGTGGCATCGGTAGCATCATGGCTGCTGGCGGTGGACTGGCTGCTCTGCGGAAGAGTACTGTGCGCCAACCCTCAGTCGCATCTCCTTCAAGCGACCAGGCAGCATCCGGCCCAGCTCCACCCCAAGAGGAGTCTCTCGCAAAGCCTCCTCCATCCTGGATGGCTGAGCTGCGCAAGAAGAGGGCTACTGCGACACCGGCAACATCTGCGGCATCTGCAACAGCCACTGCCGCTCCCACTGAGAAGCTGGCAAGCCCACCAGCCGTTCCAGTCTCCGAGCCAACAACGGATTCTATCCAATCACCATCGCTGGTTAGAGCTTCTACTCTCAGCCGTCGGCCACCACCACCTTCGACCACAGCCAGCAATTCAGCACGTAGCTCAGTGTATTCTCCAACTCTGTCAACCGTTCCATCTACCATTGCTGAATCGATTGAAAGCCAGTCTGTGGCCAGTGTTGAAACTGAGGAAGCCCAGCCTGTTGCCCAGCCTGTTGCCGAGCCAGAATTGACTGTTGAGCCAAGCCATGATGTCTCCTCTACCCAAGATACATCCGACGAAGCTCCCGCTGATGCTGCCGAGGCTGCTGAAGCCGAAGCCGAAGCCGAGCCTGTGTCTGTACCTGAGCCTGAGGTTGAAGCAGAAGCGGAAACAGAGGATACTCCAGCTGCTGACAAGGTTGATGAATCTGATATCACATCCGCAGTATCAGTGCCGGAGTCTGAGCCAGAAGTAGCTGCTGAGACCGAGTCCAAGGTTGAGCCCAAGAGTGAGTCTGTGCCTGAAGTCGAGATTGTGACTGAGACTGAAACTGAGGCTGCAACCGAGACTGAATTGGAAGTCAAGCCAGCTCTCCAACCCATCTCTGGACCAACTCTTGGTGGCGTTGCTCGTGGTCGCTCTCGCATTGCTCGTCCTGAACGACAGAAGGCGGATGTTGGCCTTCTCAAGCAGCAAGTTGTCGAAGACTCGATGTCAACCACATTGCAGAAGGCTCTCGAAAGTGACGCCACTCGAACCGATCTCCTCACTCCACCAGCACCATCCGCATCTGAGCCTGAGCCTGCTCGCAAGCCGAAGCTGCCGCCCAAGCCGACCAGCGGCCCTGCTGCGGCCCTCATTGCTGCCATGAATGCATCCAAGGATGGATCTCCCACTGGAAACAGTCGAGTGTCATCAACCACCGCCAGCCGCATCGCTGAATTGCAGCGTAAATTTGCGAACCAGCGTTCACCAGGCACATCTCAGCCAGCAGCTTCGACGCCATCTTCTCAGCGGGATACCTCAGTCTCGCCGCGGTCTGCTGTTATCACTACATCTGTAGCGCATCCATCCGACTCTGATGTGCAGGCTGCCATCGATTCTGCTGTTTCAAAGGCAACTCTGGCGTTCAAGGAAGAGCTGGCACAAGTACGTGCTGAGCTCGTCGCCCTTCATGAGAAGACTGCCACTTCAACCGCACAAGCTGCCTCATCAACTGCCACGTCGGCCGCTGCCTCAGTCAAGCAAGAGCTGGAAGCTAGCGTTGCTGAGCTCAAGTCTAGCTTAGCAACAGTAACGAAGGAGCGCGATGCACTCGCCAAAGATGTCGCATGGTTAAAGGAGAACATGATGTTTATTCTCAATGGCAATGCAGAAGACGAGGGTGACCTTTAAATTCTCCCTCCTTATCCTCGTCTCTTCAAACCAATTCTTGCATTGTTACCATTTTAAACCATTCCTTATTTTTTCTATACAAACACAAGACAAAACAAGATTGTAGAATCCTTGACATGACTTCGATTGCACTATCGATCACATGATATCCGGTTCCTCATCGGCGAGCTGAGCAGTCTTCAAATCAGCAACAACAGTCTAATCGACAAGACTCAACAAATAGAATTTGAGCATTGTACCAGCCTCACGTCCCCCTTCGTATTCCTTCTTCCCCAATAAAAAAAAACTGTCGACGAACGGAGCGTGCCGGAGATACTACCGCTGAGCCTGCTGCAGGATGTTGATATGTAGGTAAGTTGACAGAGCATCGCTTCCAGTTTGTGGGTTTCGTTTCCACTTTGCACACTTGCCACCTCCCTTCTCGTACCTTCTCTCTTTTATTTTCCCCTCTCTCCCCTGCTCTCTTCCTCCACTCTCCTTACTCTCCGCCTCGCCTCTAGTCTCGCATGACCAATTCCACGGCTGTGGCACAGCCACTCAACAACCTTGTTGAGTCGGACGAAAAATTCGAAAACATCGAGCTGTATCCGAGCGACTCTCATGAAGTGGGCAGCGAAGAAACAGACGGGATCGTTGCACCAGACGGTGGATATGGATGGGTTGTGGTCGCCTGTGCCTTCTTTGCACTGTTTGCCTCATATGGTCTCATCAACGCATTTGGTGTGTTCGCCACCTACTACTCTGACGAAATGTTTACCTCTGTCTCTTCAGCCAAGATTGCACTGATCGGCACACTGCAGATTGCCGCATTGAACATCCCTGGCCCACTCATTGGATATGCGTCGGAGGTGTATGGATACCGTCTTGTCATCTTCATTGGCGGCGTGCTTATTGGCGCTGGCATGATCATTGCATCGTTTGCCACTGCGAACTCAATCTGGCTTCTGCTCGTTGCCCAGGGTGTGGTTGTTGGTCTTGGTGCTGGCTGCTGTGTCACCAGCAGTGTCTCGATTCCATCTCAATGGTTCGATAAGCGCCGTGGACTGGCAACTGGAATTGCATTCACTGGATCTGGTCTCGGCGGTGTTGTGTTTGCACCAGTGACGCAGCGATTGCTGGACAGCGTTGGTGTTGGATGGGCCATGAGAATTCTTGGCATCATCTGCTTCGTCCTCATCAGCGCATCGGCATTCTTCATTCGCACAGTTGTTCCGCCGACTCCACGGAAGTCGCTCATGGAATGGAAGATGCTGAAGAACGGCAACTTCCTTCTGGTGTGTCTATTCAACGTTGTATCCTTTGCCTCAGTATTCGTGCCGTATGTCTACCTCAGTCTGTTTGCCACCAAGAATGGCTACACTGCAGCGACTGGCGCCACACTCGTAGCACTTATCAATGTTGGCTCGACAATTGGAAGAGTGGGCGGAGGACTCCTGGCTGACAAGTTTGGTAACCTCAACTTTAACTTCTTGACAGCATTCCTGTGCTCGATTGTCTTCTTTTGCTTCTGGCTGCCGGCTTCGACAATCAACCCAACCTCAAGTCTTGGTCTGCTCATTGCCTTCAGTCTCACATATGGTCTCACAAACGGTGCACAGATCGTCATGCTTCCACTGGTTCTCGGCCAATGCTTTGGCGTTAATCAACTGGCAACATTGGTTGGTGCGTCGCTGTTGGCAGGAGCAATTGGTGTTTTGCCTGGAACACCAGGTGCAGGTGCACTATTGGATGGTCCTGGCGACGGACACAATTTTACACCGCTCATTTTGTACTCTGGATTCATTCTTCTGCTTGCCTCGTTGCTTGCACTGCTTCTGCGATTCTCCTACTCGCGCAAGATCAAGACCGTCATCTAATTTATATTATAAATTGTTGTTCTTCAAATGATATACCGTACTTTGACACTACTTCAATGATAGAATGATCCAATAGAACGGATTTAATTAGTTTGAACAAAGGAGTGGTGCGAATGACCATGGGTCTGTGGAGATTAGCTCTCGGCTGTAATAGTATAATGGTAGTACAACACGTTGTGGCCGTGTCAGCCCTGGTTCGATTCCAGGTTACAGCACTCTTTTGGCCGCTGGTGTGGCATCCTCGCTGCGTTCTTTTGTCGCTTGTGCC